AGGCAGGTGGAACGTTTTTGAACGTTCTTTTCATCACACGAATGTCGGCGCTAAGGGAAGAAAAGTGAAGCACCTATTCACACCAAAGAGACGAACGCTCAGGACGACACAGTCCGCATGTGCACTTTGAAAAGGAGCTCTCACTATTTTCAAATGGAGTTTTTTTTTAAAAAAATCCATTCTCAGGTTTAGTGTTTGTATTACTTTGTATAATTAAAAGATTTCCTCATGTGTAGATTTTCAATTTCATTACCTTGGGGTTTAATAGACAGGCATATTTAGAAAGTAAATTTATAGTTCATAATGTTTTGGCATGATCGATTGCAGACAGTTTTATAGAAAACAGATACCTCCAGTGTGATATGTAATTCTAATTATCTTAGAACCACGTGATATACATAGCACAGAACCTTCTTAATTTTAAGATACTTTTTTGTATTATCCTTCATTTAGCCCACTGGTACAATCTGTTTCATGTCTGTATTTTAATTTTGTTTATGTGCCCTCTAACAATGTACTGAATATCTCAAAGTGTTTTCCCCTAAGCTCCTGGAAATGCAATCCTCATTACCCAAAAATGAATTACTTTTTATAAGTCACACTCCCTGTATATTTCACATGCACACACATGCACAAACCTAAAAATAAACAAATAAACAAATGAACAAACAAAAAGCAAAGACAGATGTAAGGCAACCAACTGAGTCTATCAGGAAGGAAGAGCCTAAAAATATAAAAGTGTAATGTATGCACATTCCTGACTTGGCTGCAGATATACATTTTGGGTACTTTTAAGGCAATTCTATGCAAGAGTCAGAAATTGTGTTTGAATTAATATGGGTTCAAACCAAAATTGGGGTGAATCCAAGATTTCCAGAAGCAACAAGAGCCCATGTTACAGGGGTAAAATTAAGTTTTCTTGGTTCTAAGTTTAATTCAATAATTGATAATCCTTTGTGCAGTTTAAAAATTGTGAGTCTAAATCAACATCTAATGGACTTCTGAAACAAACACAATCATTCTGGTTTTCTTGAGGTTCATATGGTAGTACGCAGAAAACAATTGGATTTGCTCCGGAACCAGCAGTGTTTCATGCACTGAGTCACTGTGAGCTGGAACCCCCTCGAAGGCAGCAAACACTATGTGAGCCATAACAAATATATTGCTGAAATATTCTTTACTAATATTTGACTCAAAAATACCTAGTGATGATAGTTAATGAAGATATTTAATAAAGAATACACTTTAAAGGTCCATGAATAGAAAAGTAAGTTCTGACCTCTATCTTGAGTACTGCTTGTCACATCTGTAAAATAAAGCATTCTACAAGACTATATAAAATCAGAGCTCCGATTGAAGAATGATTTTCCCAAATGCCACAACTAATTGGATGTGAATTTAAGGATTCAGAGGCGAAGCTAACTCTATGTCCATGCTAGTCCTACTATCCCTATGGCTTTCTTCCAGTTTGTCCTTCTGCTTTTCCAGGTGCAGGGGGGATCCTTTTAACATCATTATTGAAGTATAAATGATATATGCTAAAATATACGTTCAACAAAGCCTAAAGCCTTGGTTGTAAAAAAGCAACAGTGAAAAACAAACAACAACAAAACAACAAACTCATCACAAGATAAATGGCAAAGTAGAACTGGCCCTGAGGGTTTCCACTGCAGTGGAAACCGCTACAACTTCTTCTGTGGAGTGGCTGATGGATTGGGATGGCAACATTTTGCTTAGAGACTGTTTAACTTGTATGTCACTCAGACTCTTTAAAATATGTATTTACAGAGCATCACTTAACAAAGTTTAATATATTTATATATACATTAAATCATTACCAGAGTCAATAAGATGCGCATTATCAGGCCAGGACTTGAACTCAGGCTCATTTGTAATCACTCTGTGGTCAGTATACTTTACTTTGAGAGCTCTGATTTGTATATATATATATATATAATTGTACAATGTACTTTTTTGTCTTTCATCCTTTGCTTATCATAATTATTCTTAGACTAATCCATGGTGGAGTCCTGGTGGCATAGTGGTTATGCATTGGGCTGTGATCCACTAGGTCTACAGTTCTACTCCGGGACACAATTACAGTCAAGGAAACCCACAGGGGCAATTCTAAACTGTCCTGGAGAGCCACCATGAATCAGCCTCAACCCAATGGCAGTGAGTGAGAATCCATGTGGTTGTAGCAATTGTCCAATCCTCTTTAAATGGTAACATATTCTATTATATAGATATACCACTATACTTTTATTCATATATTGTCAGATACTAGAGTTATTTCCAATTTGAGATGATTAGATGTAAAGCTGTCATTGGTATTCATACCCACATTGTTGGATGGACACGTTTTCATTTCTTTGAGGTAAATACTGAGGAGTAAAATGACCAGATCAGATAATGGAACTCTTTCTCCAAGTGGGTGATACTACCAACCTTAGGGGTTCTGAAAGGATCAAAGAAGGGATCCAAAAAATGATGTATATACTTTATTTTGAATTATGGGCTAGAGTACGAAAGTTTTTCATTGACAAGCTCATTGTGAGTGTATGTGTGTGTGGTGTATCTGAAAAGGGGGTGGTAGGCCAAATACATTTGTAAACCCAGGAGATAGAAGACCATCTCACTCTTTGAGATTGATCAGCTGTTTTCCCAAATTATTTACCCTATTTGAGATTGCTATCATCAGTGTATAATATTTCTAGATTTTCTGCCTCTTCTCTAACAGTTGGTATGTTAAGGTATTTTGTTTGTTTTTGTCTTTTTTTTCTTAGTCACTCTAATACATATATGGAAATATCACATTGTTTTGTCATTTGTATTTACCTAGTGATTAATGATGTTAAATGTCCTTCCATGGATTTATCATCATATAGCTTCATGGTCAAAATGTTTTTGCAAGTATTTTTCTCATGCTTAATTAGATTTTTTAATTGTTTTACTTTGAGTGTTGGTTATATTTGGACATAAGCAAGGCCTTTAGTCTAATATGTTTTGTAAATGTTTTCTCACCTTCCCTGATCTGATTTTCATCTTATTAAAAGTTCCTTTGAAAAGAGAAGCTTTAAAGTTTAATGAAGCTGAATTACCTAGAGATGAAAACTAAAATGTCTGAGATGTTAAGAACATACCTTAGAAGAGAATGTCAGCAGATTAGGTATTTCTGAAGAAATGGTTAATGAACTTGAATAAATGACAAAACAAATTATGCAAAATGAAATGAAAAAGTAAAAGGACTAAAGTTTAAGGAAGCATTAGTGATAAATGGACCAATTTCAAGTGGCCTAATGTAAATTGTGTGATGTATATCACTGAAAGAAAATAGAGAGAGAATTTTTAAAAAGAGAGAGAAGGTATACATAATGACTGAAAATGTTTTAATTCTTATGATAATTACATACTGGTGAATCAAAAAATCCTGCAAGTCATAGGCATAGAAGATAGACATGGAAATGCACTGAGGCCCACTGTAATCAAATTGTTTAAGACTCATGATCATGAGAAAAGTGTAAATGTACCTAGAGAAAAGACGTACTGCTTATGGAGTGTAGTTGTAAGAATGCTAGCTGATTTTTCTCTAGAAACAATGCAAGGGGAATCCTCCTGTGTAGTGTATCCATGAGGTTTTGATGTCAGAACTTGATTATCAAGAAAATAAGCAGCTGCTAATTGAAACCATTCCATCTAAATCTGAGTAACAGAACAAAATCCAACATTGAGTTGATTCCAGCCATATAAGACCTCCAGCGAGATCTTATATGGGGCTTCTATATACGACTTTACATAAGATTTCTATATAAAACCTTCTAAGCTTTATGAGGGCTCTATAGCTCAGAAAACCTATAAAGACCTCATATAGGGTTTCTGAGATAAAGTCAACTACTCTGGCCCAACCAGCCATAATTCTGGGTCCTATGTCTGTGGCTGTGATCCCCCTCTGCAGGGAGTGCTCTGTGATAGGATTATGGCTGTCTTTGTTGGGTGCCAACACATTGGTTCGGACTCACAGCGAGTTTACGTACAGCAGTAGGAGACACGTTCAGTCTTGTGCGACCCTCATCGTTCTCCTGTTTGAGCCGATGTTGGATTCACTGTAACAATTCATCTTATCAAAGACTTTCCTTGATTTCCCTGCTAATTGAAAGTCCTGCTTTATTTCCCTGCTGGCATGAAGTCCTTCTGCAGGGACTGGTCTCTCCTGACAACATGTCCAAAGTACGTGTGATGATGTGCTGTCATCCCTGCTCCTCAGGAGCATTCTGGCTGTACCTTTTCCAAGACGGTTTGTGTTTTTCTTTTATGGTCCGTTGTACTTACGTGATTAAGGGGGAATTGAATCCTAACCTTAGTAGAGAGAGTAAATCACATCACACTCCTTTTGTTTTGTTTTGTTTTAGTGTGGGGTGTGTGTGTGTCATTTTTAAGACTATTTTAATTGAATATGGGACTTAAGACACCATTCTTCACTTTCTTAGGGGAAAGGTTGGCTGAAAGACAAATTACAGCCTCATCAAAGTCATCCCTCAGTATTTAAAAACCATCTGGACACACAGAGAAATTGCCCGATCATTTGTAAGAGGAGGCCCAAGATCTCAGTCTGAAGTGGCAGAGACCTTGGCAACTGGATGCACACACACTTTGGCTTGGGGTCTGAGTGGAGCATCACCTCATCTGGCTCAACACTATGGAACTGTAGAGTAGAGCTTCCTGGACCACTGAGAAACGGGCCAAGAGACCACGTGGCTGGGAGACTGAGGATTGGAGAGAGGGTTTCCTGCTTGCTGAGGTGGGCTGTTGCTGTGTCCCAAGGCCTGCATCCTTGCAGTTTGCTCATTCTAAATTGTGGTAACCTATGACATTCTCTAATCGACCCTTTAATTGTGAATATTATCTGTGAGCTCTCTGTTTGAATGATCAAGCCTGGCACAGAGCAGATCTATACAGAAGGAAGCGTTGGGGTCAGAATAGGGTAAAAAGCACGAAGGATGGTACTTACCTGGTAGGGGAGACACCATGATCAGGAAGGTGGTTATTCTCAGGACGAGGCTCATCCATTGCACCGCAGGTGTGCTGACCCCTGTGATTTCCCCAAATGTGGGAAACTAGACTGCACAATTTGTGGTAGTGGGGGACTGCATTCATGCTCTCCCTTGTATAAAAAAAAAAAAGCAAGAAGGATGATTGCATGTCTTCTCCCTACCTTGTGAGATCAAATATGGCTCTCCACATTGTTTACTTCAAATTCCCTGAGGCTACAACCTTTATGAGAGCAGATAGCTCTTATCTTTCTCTTGAGGGTGGTTTGAACTGCCAACCTTGTGGATAGTAATCCAATGTTTACCTGACGGCACCACTAAGAATCTGATTAAGAATATATAACTCTTTAAATAATTTTGTAGTTTTTCAAAATACTGTAGTATATGAGAAATAATTTAAATGACCTGACTTGTTTTCTTTCCAAATTCCTTCATGTTATAAGATTCATATGCAGGCTTTCCAACAAAGTCTTTCATTTGTCCATTGTTTTGCTTTGATACTTCAATGTGGATCTCTGTGGAAAGTACCGATAGACTCCTGCCCTCTTTCTTTCCCTCGGGTTAGAGTTTGACCAGTGAGATATCTTAGAGGGAAATTGGAGAAGTGTGCTCAATGGTGCCGTGTATGGGTATGGAGGTAAGTAACAACCGGATGATGCTGAGGAAGTGTGGACAATCTCAAAGAATTCAGACTCCATCCACAAGTAATGAAAATATCTTGAAGGATTCTACTCAGCGATGAGACATTTTTGAATAGCTTTTTATAAGGTTAATTGTGACTGGGACAATTAGAATAAATCAAATGGAAATAAGATGGAAGCAAGGATATCAATGAAAAGATTGTTCTGTTTAAATAATCCCCTGAGAGATGTCGGACAGGGCAAGATATGACAAAATAACAATTTATAAACTGTCAAGGGCTCATGAGGGAGGGGGAGCAGGGAGGGAGGGGAAAAATGA